TGCTTGTAAGTAGCGTATAATAGATTGTTTGACTAGTTTTTTGTGGGGATGGAGCATATATATATCTTTCACATATTTATAATTTTATGCAATTTTACATGTTTATAAATATTTACTGTCATTATATTATTTTATAAAATATTAAAAATTAAATACCTATGGGGCTACGCCTCGCTGAGGCATATGTATAACGTCTCGCCTTACGCCCACGCCTTTTAAAATACCGATTGGGATATCAGTTAAACCGTTAATAGAATTGAGCAAACCGCGACCCGAACTGATAACTCAATAATCAAATAACACAAAATCGTTACCGAATCATTAATCCAATAATCTGATACCGATAACCCAATAATTTTTTTTTTTTATTTCGGGCTATCGATTTTGTCCGATATATGCCCACCCCTAATCTGAGAAGAATGTAATGCCTTGAATTCGATGATACAAGGCTGTAAACATTGATGATTTTAACTTGTATTTTAGCATTATAGCTGCGAGGAATATAGCGTCCTAGAATGCCATAATTTTAGGTTATGTTACTGAAAGAACAACGAGCTCGTACGCAATAATAATTTAGAATTTTCCGTGTAAGAAGAAGAAGGTAAAGTTTCAAGCGTTTAATTTAGGAGTAAATTTATGCAACTAAAGTAGTTAAATTTTAATTACTTTTGGAACAATGGCTAAATCTTAGCTAGCGTTTGGCCATATATTTTCAAATTTATTCTGAAAAATTTGATTTGGGTGAAGTTTGGTTTGAAGATGAAAATGTGTTTGGACATCTGTTTTGGGTGAAGTTTGGTTTTGAAAAACATAAAACATGACTTATACCCACAAGTTCTAAAAATTATCATAAATACCCAACAGTATCATTATCAATAACATTCATTATATTATCGCAAACCATAGTCCTGAATATAAATAAATTTGATACAAAATTATCATTTTTGTAATGAACTACATGATACACTATCAGATGATCGAGAAGACGAAGCAGTATCGTTACAAAATAATAAATGGTAGGCTCTTTTATAAAATACAAAACTTTGGGGTAATTTTTAAAAAAATATAATAGTGATATTTTGGCCAAAAATCAGCTATTGAGCTGGTTTTGAGTTTTGAGATTTGGCCAAAATGTAGGCAAAATCTATGGCCAAATATGTGTTTGTCAAATAAAACTCAAGTTTATTTTGACAAAATCTATGACCAAACGGGTCCTTAGTATCTGATCTAAAAAGTGGCTATTTGACTATTTCAATGGATTTGGCAATCTATAAAACTAAAACCCAAAACCAACACTAAAAATTTAAAAATGGAACAAACCAAATTTAAATGTAACTTTTAGACTCCTTGATTATATTCATAAATCCATTGAAATAATTTTATATGAAATAATTAACTATACTAATTCGAAGTTTTGTCCCCAAAAGAAAAACATTCTTCTCGGTTCATAGATAGAATAAACTATTTGTCTTATATTTTAAGGGAAAAAAATTATTTTTATGCTGCACATTATTCATTTAATATAGCAAACATCAAGCAAGTCAAAATTTTTACTTTTCTTCTCGGTTTCAATTTTCTATTTTTTGGTCGATTTTCGGTTTTGTCATTTTAAAATTTTGATCAACCAGTTCGATCTTTGTTCAAATAAAAGCTTTTTGATTAATCGAAAAAGCAAAATTATGCATTAAACCTTTAGGTTTAGCCCAATCAATACTCCTCTGTGCATAAAAGCGCAACACCTTAGCCTTTACTTTTTAACCTATCAACCCATCTCTGGTCAATCCAAAACAACCTCAATTCTTTTTTTTTTCCTCTCACAGAAAATAAAAAATAAAAGTAATTGTTTGAGGTTTCCCCGCTTCATGAACTAAAAATACAATGAAAATGATTGACAAGAATGGTCATGCAAGAGGTTGGTCTTAGCCAAATGTCCCCGTAATTAGCGGTATTTAAAAAATAGCATTGGATTCGCGCATACAGTTATTACTCTTCAGAGATTTCTCTACCGGTAGTAGAGTGTATACTATACTTACTCTACCTATCTGTTAAATTGTTCATCAAAGTCTACCCTTCTGGCATGATATTGTGCTTGTTAAATTGTTCACCAAAATTTATCAGATTAGCGTGAATTTGTGTTATTTGCATTTCGTCTATTTGTTAAATTATTCATAACTTTTCCCAATTAGCATGATTTTGTGCTTGTCTAATTGCTCATCAAACTCTACCAGACTGGTATGATTTTGTGTTATCTGTAATCAATCTATCTATTAAATTATTCATTAAAATCTACCTGATAGGCATAATTCCTCTTTGTTGTTCAACAAAGTATTTTTCGAAAATACAATTTGGTGCAGAACAATATAATAAAATGGTAAAACTTTTAGCTATAAATATTATATTATTATATATTATTTAATACAAAATCTTACCATGCCGGTAGATTTTAGCTGAAGCCTGCACAAATTAAGAATATGAGACCTATTTATTAAATACCAATAATTATGGGGCTAATCCGTTAAGACCAGCCGCATGCGGGCCACGCGCAATTGTTTGACTTTGGTATCTACTACTTCCATTGGGCATTTTGGAGGCGAGGTGTACCGGTAGCCATTTTTAACCCGTTTAAACTTTATCCACAACTTATAATATATTTAAAGATTTGCTAATTCATTCAAACTTTAGGACTAAGGGTGTGTTTGGTATAACAAAAAATATTTTCGGTAAAAAATATTTTCCAAAAAAATATTTTCTTGAAAAATAAGTAGTAATATTACTCATTTTTCGGTATTTGGTACGCAAATTAAAGAAAATAACTTCTAAAGAGTATTCATAAATAATTTAGTTACAATAAATATGAAACCATAAACTTTCGAACCAACAACCTTCCGAACCCACAAATTTCATAAACTTCTGAACCGCTAAACTTTCGAACCCGTAAATTCTATAATTTCTAAACCCACAAACTTCCAAACACATAAACATTCGAACTCATAACGTTGGAACTCGTAAAATTTCGAACCTGTAAACTGAAAAATAAAAAAATCAGAACCGAAAATATGAAGAAAAAAAAAATTGCGGGGGGAGAGGGTTCAGAAAAACGAAATAAATAAATAAATTAAAATACAAAAAAAGTAAAAAAATAATTTTTTTTTGCGGGGGTGGTTGACGGGGTTGGGGTGGGTGGTACAGAAAAACGAAAAAAAAAATAAAAAATTGAAGTTGGGTGGTGTTGGGGGTTAGATGTGAGGGTATGTGGAGTTTTTGAAAAATGTTTTCCTAACTTTTTCTAGGGAAATCATTTTCCTCCAATTTCAGGAAAATGTGATATATAGGAAAATATTTTCAAACTATTTTGTGCAACCAAACAGTAGAAAATGGGAAAATACCAAACACACCCTAAGTATCCTAATTTTTTGAGCTGCTAATTTGAAATTCATGACTTGGTGTCCTAAATTTTTGAGCTACTGATTTGAAATTCAAGATTAAATGTCTTGAATTTCTGAACTATTAATTTAAAATTCAAGACATAAGATTCGAATTTCTCGATATAATTTTCGAAATTTAGGACAAGATGTCATGAAGTTGGAATCTCGAGGTTTTAACTTTAAGATACCGTGTCCTGAAGTTCGAGTGAATTGGTTAATCTTTAAATATAGGCAAAATACATAACTTACCCCTGAACTATGACCCAAATCCCTGTTGCACACTTTTTGGGAACGAATATTACTTTACACACCCAACCTTTTCAAAGTGTATCTAAGACACACTACTTTGCCCACGTGGACAGTTCGTGTTTTTCTCAACAAATGAGTCGCGTGAACAGAAGAATTTTGTGTCAAATGTCAATTTTTTTTTAGTTTTTAAATATTTTAAATTGAGTTATCTTCTTCTTTTTTTAAAATTCTGCCATGGCTACTCCTTGAGCTCCACCACCCGATCTCCTTCTTATCAAATAGATATACCACGATTTCTCACATCTCTTCTCGTTGATTAGTTTTTAGTTTTTTTTTTCCAGATCTTTTGTCGCGAAATTTAGATTAGATTCAGCAGTTAAAATTTTTTGTAGCTCCGCCAAAACCTTGCCTCAACCTTTTGCATAGAAGATCTTTTCTTTTTTGCAGAGAAGCTTAACTTGAGCTTTACCCATGGCGAAGTCGAATTTTTCGGAAGCAAGAATTTTTCAAAATTTGTTCCAACCATTAAAAATTGATTCAATTTCAGCGGAAGACGAAATTTTGGGTGTGTTTTCTGGTGATTTTTGTTAGTTAATGGTGACTTTGTTATTAAGTAAAAGGTGGAGGAAGAGGCTATGGTTTTTGATGGCGAAGAGAGAAGGAAAACAACCATGGTAGTTTAGATGGGGAAGATGAGAGGTATAACTGTAATTTTAATTATTTTATTTTTTAAATGACACGTGTCATTGTATGATTGGTGCGTAATATTACACATATTCTGAAAAACTGATTAAGAAAAAGTAGTGTCTTAAATATACTTTGAAAAGTTTGATTATGTAAAGTAATATTCGTTCCCAGAAAGTGTGTAATAGATATTTGGGGCATAAGTGAGGTGACAACTTATATATTTTAACTTAAAATATATTATAAACTCTCAATATATTTTAAATAACGTGCATATAAATGACTGCCATTTCCACGTATTTTGGTGGTTCTTAAGCCCGTAGGATTTTAAGCATTCGTAATTGGGGCAATGTTATACATCAGACTCGAAGGCCCAAACCAGATTTTTCCGAATCGCAAGTCAAAGCAAAACTCGTGGGCAGACAACTTGCATGAAGTTTCCCCATCTTCCCAAATTTATATTTTTCTCCAAACTAAATAGTTTAGGGTTTATGCTTCTCTGTTGCTGTATACTAGTGCTTACCGCTGATTAAAATCCTCCACCTTTTCCAATATACAGATTCTTCCTCGGTGTTTTTGTGTAAGCTTCTATTATTAACAGCAAGCAACAGAAGAGGCAAAGAAGATGAAGTTGGATGTTAACGTTTTGAGATACCTTTCTAAAGATGATTTCCGGGTCCTTACTGCCGTTGAGATGGGCATGCGCAATGTCTCTACCCTTTCCACTTTTTGCATTCTATTTACTTAATTTTTTTTTCTTTTCAATGTATAATCTTTTTTTTTTTTTTTTTTTTCCCAGCATGAAATTGTGCCTTCTGAGCTCATTGCCCGTATTGCTTCCCTCAAGTTAGTCCTTTTTTGTTTCACTTAATACAAGTACATTCTCTCTTGTCGCGTTGATATATTAGTAATTTTTTTTGTACTTTTATTCTTTTAATTATATTTAGGCATGGGGGCTCATATAAAGTGTTGAAGAATTTGCTAAAGCACAAATTAGTCCATCATGACGCTTCTAAATGTGAGTGTTAGCTTTGTTTTTAACTATTTGTTTGTACCTTTTTTGTGAGCTGCCATTTATTCTGAATTTTGTTTCTTAACGTTGCTGTATAGATGATGGATTTCGACTCACCTATCTTGGTTACGATTTTCTTGCAATCAAAACTATGGTTAATCGTGGTGTATTTAATGGAGTGGGTCGTCAACTTGGCACTGGGAAAGAGTCTGGTAACAATCTTTTATCTGTATATTCTTGTGTTTTACCCTTTTTTTTTTGTTACTTTGTAATTCACACTATCATGTTCTTAACTATCCATTTTTCCAATAGATATTTTTGAGGTCGTAAAGGAAGATGGCACAGTTCTTGCGATGAAGTTACACAGGCTCGGTAGGGTTTCATTTAGGGCAGTCAAAGCAAAACGTGACTATTTGAGGCATCGTAGCAGCTATAATTGGCTCTACTTATCGCGGCTTGCTGCCTTGAAAGAGTTTGCATTTATGAAGGTAATTGCACTTCTCTAATTTGCCTTATTGTCTTAGTGTAAGCTCAAAGAAGCTCACCGTAGGCACTTCGCCCCTCTTAGGCTGCGCTTCAGTGTAGGCAAGGTTCTAAGGCGTGTGTCTCATTGCCATAAATTCTTAGTTGCACTATTTTTAACTAAGCTCACACTTTAGTTGCGCTTTGCGCTTAAAGCCTTGATAGACCAGGAGCACTTTTTAACGCTTTTCTCCTTTGACAACACTAATTGTCCTTGAATTTGGAGATTTGTTTTGATATTTAGTGCTCGTGTAAGCAGGCACTAGAAGAACATGGATTCCCTGTTCCAAATGCTGTCGATTGCAATCGGCATTGTGTGATTATGTCACTTGTACCAGGCTATCCACTGTAAGTGCTGCCAACTTTTTTGAAATTCCATCTTGGTGGGTCTACAGTCTGGTGATGCTGTTGTTTTACTTTATATTGTGTATGCTAAACTTAATTTTCAGATGTCCACTTGTTTTTTGTCTTAAGCTATAACTATGGCCATAAATTCCACTTTCCCTTTATACTTCTCTCTAGGTCCTGATTCCTTCTCAGGGAATAGGATGCATCTGTGGTAAGAGATATGATAACGATTTTTTGGATCAGTTTTGCTTTGACTTTGTTTAAGAAGTTTGAGGGGAGTAGGCCGTTTCTGAAAGTTTTTAGTCCATCATCAAGCTTTAGTGCCGTTGAAGAAGAAATTCAATGGCGATGAAGATTTTTCTAATGGTCTTTTTAGTTCTGGGGTCCTTCGTCATTGGTTATCTGTAGAACTAGATATTAGTAATTTCTTTAAACTTCTGTGAACTAGGTGTTATTTACCTAGCAGTACATATGCAATGCTTTGTCAATGCCTAGTTTCACAATATTAGTCACAAGAATGCGATAAAATGAGGATTACTTATTTCTAATCACCATCATAGCTTGAAAAAATATATTCTGTTTGTGGTATTGGAGGTTCTGCATAACCATTATGTCTCAGTAATTGAGTGTTTCATATAGTAGCATAGAATTCTACATAGCTTGCTTCATAGGAGTTATCATGTTCTATGTTTTCATTTCTTCAAGGATAATCGCCTTAAAAAATGGTATGTTAGAGTCACGGACCTTTGCATGATCAATTATGTGTCTAAACTGGCCTTTGGAAGCTTAAGTAAGTTGGTAGTCCTAACTTTTCTTCCCAACTACTATTTGGGGATTCTCGCTCCTGCACAAACTCTATAATCTTGCTAGTCTATTTTGTGCTTATAGTAACAGCTCCTTGTAAGATACACGGAATACTCTATCTAATAGCATTATGAGAAGGGAAAAGGGCCAAATATACCTCTCTACTTTTATATATTGTCTATATTTAACCTCTGTTATACTATCGGGCCAAATTTACCCCTACCATTATACTATCGGGCCAAATTTACCCCTACAATCAGCAAACTTTTAAAAATACCCCTTAATCTGTTAAGTAATCCAAAATCTCCCAAATTCCTTTTATTTAAATCACTTGTTGTTCTTCTTGGTCCACTATTTTTGAAATAATTGACATTTACCTGCTTCCTGAATTAGAGAAAAAAAAAATAAGAGAAAAAATATTAAATAATACAACCGAATAAACAAAGTATAGTAAATTGAAAAATCTAAATTAGGTAGCTTTTCTAAATTCTAAAATTATTTACAACATCCCAATTTTAATGAATTCGTTGCAACAAATGTATGGAGACTTTGCAAGTATTAGTGATTGAAGTTGAAGTTCCTCAGAGACTTTACATTGTCTAATTCAACTTTGCTTTAATTAAATGTCTACACATTGTGCACTCTTAAGTTAGTCGATTGAACTCTATACTAACTAGGCAATGACAAAATATATTTGAATATACATGTACATACACGATGATTAGCTGCATATAATACACAATAAATAGACCCACTAAATTCTACGATGTGTATATGATTGAAAAATAAATAAAATTATAAACCAATTTTATTTATTACAAGAAGAGAAATTGGTGCATTGGTAATTAAAAAAAATATTATGAATAATTTGTATAGTCTAGTAACTTTAGCATTCACATTAATAGCAATTTTTGAAAATAATGGAGCAAGAAGAACAACAAGTGATTTAAATAAATAGAATTTGGGAGATTTTGGATTACTTAACAGATCAAGGGGTATTTTTAAAAGATTGCTGATTGTAGAGTAAATTTGACCCGATAGTATAACGGTAGGGGTAAATTTGGCCCGGTAGTATAACGGAGGTTAAATGTAGACAATATATGAAAGTAGAGGAGTATATTTGGCCCTTTTCCCTTATGAGAATATTGTTAAGCTGTAATAACAATTGTTATGTAGGTCCTAAACCTTAGAAAAACAGATTTTTGATCTTCGACTATGTGTGCATTATTGTCGTATTATTGGTTTCTTCCTAGAAATGCTGTCGGTAAAACTTATTATGATGGTCAAAATAGTGTGCAGGTTAAGGAGCTGCAAAACCCAGACGTGGTTTTTGAAACAATCATTGGTGCTGTTGTTCGTCTGGCAGAACACGGGCTTATTCACTGCGATTTTAATGAATTTAACATAATGGTATCTTATGATCTTTCCTTGATTTACTTGAAGCTATCATTATATTTAACTGCTGTATTTTTTTTCTTGTGAGCTTGGTTTGCTGAGGGTGCAACTAGGATATGTTGATTTCATTTTTCAGTTCTTTGCCCTTTTCAATTGCTCTGAATTTAGTCATATAGGCTTATACTAGACCTGTTTATCAGTTTTCTGATTTTCCTTGTATTAATTAATTGGATTGCAGATTGATGATGATGAAAAGGTTACCATGATTGATTTCCCGCAAATGGTGTCAGTCTCTCATCCTAATGCCCAAATGTAGGATACTGTACCATTTTATTCCATCTAAATACCATTCGAAGTTCTATTATTCTGTTTTGTTTCCCCCCCTTTATTTGGATCATTGCGTGCTGAGGATTATTATGCGTTGTTAGCAAAATTGTTTGCTACTGATACAATTTTCTATATTCCAGGTATTTTGACCGTGATGTGGAGTGCATCTACAAGTTCTTTGAAAAGCGGTTAGTGAATTACTCTATTCTGTTTAATTGTACTTGTTCATTTGTTTGACCAAGAAACTATTGTGAACACTTCTTCCACTTTATGATGTATTTCTGCGACTTATCATTTGAATTCACTTTTTTATCAAGATAGGTATTTTGGTGCTGTTACATATGTTTTTTGGGATGCTAAATTTTCCTTTGAAATGTGAGCTCATACTTATTTCTCTCACCTATCTTTAGGTTCAATATGTTATTTGAAGAAAATGAAAATGATTCTGATGGTTCAGAGGCTGAAATGGATGAAGTTGGACGGCCCCAGTTCTCTGAAATAAACAAAAATAGCGGTTTCTTGGACAAAGAACTTGCTGCCAGTGGTTTTACAAGAAAGGATCAAAATGAGTTGGAAAAGGTACAATCAAACTACTGTTTTTGGCTGAATTGCATTAAAAATTGTTAACCTTATTAGGAAAAAAAGAAGCTTCTTGGATATAGCTTTCTTCCACTAAGAAGGGAAACAAATGAAGAAAACTATGTTTAGATTGAATGACTTATCCTGGGACTTATATTAAGCTATCTGTCGTATTGTTCTGGAACGTTAACTTTGAATATTGCAACTGTGTGACAAATGTGATTGATGCTATCTGTTGATGATATTTGCCTGAGTTGGATTATGAGTGTTTAGTACTTGATTCCACACGATGCAAAGTGATGAATGCAAATTATAGTCTTAGTTATGACAACCCTAGAAGGTTTATACTGTAGTGAATGGTGAAATTTAGAATAAGGATCTGAGAATGGGGTGGAAACATTGATCATCAGCAAAATTTCTAATTACAATGACTTCATAAAAAAAGATTTAATTATCATGGTCATGTTTTTCTTTGAAGTCCTTAGGGAGTCCTTTATGGTTTGCCTATCAATAAATAATGGAGTTACTTTGGAGGACTGCTTGAGAAGTGCGAAGAAGGAATAAATCTCATAATCATGCAAAGAGTATAGGTTATAATGCAATTTCTCGTGTAATTCCATGTTAGGTAGCTAAGAGAATGCTAAGATCTAAGATATGACCTCTTTCCCTTGAAATCAATGATAAAGTGTACATAATTTTACTTATAAATATACCATTGGATATAATACTAGCATATTTAAATAAAATACTCAAAGTAGAAGAAGTTAAAAAATGTATTAGTCATCAACTTGAGGGCATTTTAGTCTATATATGGAAATGTGTAAAATTTCTTCAAGCTACCTCATGGAGTTTAACAACAGAGGAGGTTGATGCTGTGATTATAATAAATCGGAACTGAGATTTTTGCATCCCTGTAAACAATAGAGAAGGTCTTTTTATTGCAGAAATATGGAGAGGAAGCTGTTGTAGTGAACCATGAAAATACATTAATGATAAATGTCGTGCACACTTCCTTTGAACATGGACGGCATGAATGTCCTCGGTCATTACAATGTCCTCCCTGAAACTAGAGAAGTTACCTCTTTTCTTTCGTGTCATGTCTGATTAGATAGATCCATTGACCTGCAACTGTATCTATTTGTGTATTGTTTAGAAAATGCTTACGCTTAACGATATTTCTGTTAAATATCAATTTGTTTGGATTGTATTCACCAGGTATATGCTAAGGATGATTTCACCACCTCTCTAGTTGAATGTTTTTACGGCGTGTGTGTTCACTTAAACAGTGTCTTTGTATCATGAAAAGAAGACTCATTTAGTGTCTGTTAGAGACAATATTCAGCCAGTTTTTGTACCTCGTATTCTCTACATGGCTAAGTGAATAGCCCTTTCTTCCCTTTTCTGTGATAATGCATATGTACGAAGTGTTGTTGTTTGGCTTGACAAGATTGTGGTAATGCTGATAATTCTTATTGCAGCTGCAGGATATCCTGCCATTTGAATGTGAATCGCCTGTTGTACTTGACTTTCTAGTTATTATTTACTTTGTTTGCAGTTAACTGAGGCAGAGCTTGACATGTATTCAGATTCTGATGATGAAAGAACCAGTGATGAAGAAGATGAAGACATGAACGAGACAAACATCAAGCAGCTTGAATCCTTGCAGTTGGAGAAGGTAGTTCCCCTTTCTCTCTAAGAAGGAAAGAGCGAAGAGACAGAGACCTGTAGTGATCTCATATTAAAGTCATAAGTTGAAATGTTTCTGGTGCTTTTGGTTGATAAGGGGATATGGGACCTAGTTATCTACACTATTTTTTGTTACTGCAACATGGTAATGTGCGATAAAACCAAAGTTGGAACATTTTTTATTTTTTTTGAGTTTCACTGGAAATATGGAACATAAAGATGATCCTCAAACAGCTCTTTTGTAAAGCAAAATAAAAATAGATTAGTGCAGTTGAGCCATCTTTGTAAATACTTTGGACACTTTCTTGATAGGTTGTTAATGAAATTTTATTAACTTAAAAGCTTTCATGTAAAGCAAAAGCAGGAGAGTCAAGCTTTGATGCTTTCTGGGTTGTCTGGACTGGACGGAATAGCCAGGTGTTTTGATGGAATATCAACTCCTAACACTCCCTTAAGGCTAGATGTCGTTTACTTTTATTTAGTTGGCAAAATCTATCTGTTGTAACTTGCCCTATAAATTTTCTGGACTTTATCAGCTCCCTAGCAGTTTTAGGCATATATAGCGGCGCTGTTTCTCCCTTTTTGCAGTCCTTATCTTTTGTAAAACTTATATCTTCTTGATGCCAATTAATGAAACTATTTACGTCATTAAAAAGAGCAGGAGAGTTGAGCCATCTTGACATATTTTACATAATAATGTGAGATCTTTTTTTAAAATTGCTTGTAGTTCGAGACATAATCTAATTAGTACAAGTCTTTCTAGAAAACCTCCTAAACCATTGCGATTGTCTGCTGTAGAAGTTTTACAATTCACTGTGAAAACTTTTGCTGAAAAATTGCTTTGATTAGTCATAACTATATGTCTATTTATGATGAGAGTTCACTGGTAGACTGGCAATTAATTTTGGCATGGTACTGGACATTACCCTTATAGCTGTTTATGTAAATCAGATATCCCTGAAACATTAGTGTTAAGTTGCCTCTTATCAGTTACCATAGTATTGTTGACTCACCAGATTTCTGCAGCATATTAATGTAGGATATTTTATCACCACCCAACAGAATAGGATGTGCTTGCTACAATAATCATTTTTTCCTAATTTCTGAGTAATATCATACATTATCGAGCCTTTGCCTATCTTATTGAATAAACTAAGGATGCATATTCCACCATATCTCTGTGGCAGGTGTGTCGGCTTATATTTCTCACGCAGATGAAACAATGTGCGAGAATTCCCATGTCTTTTGGCACTTACTAATGATATTTATTCTTGCAGGAGGACAACAATCATCAAGTTGCGGATGAGCATGATGATAATCATCAAGTTGGGGATGAGCATGATCCTGAGGATGATGGAGAGGCTGAGTCTGAAGATGATGCCGAACTTGTGAAGAGCCTGAGCAAGCAGAGGAGGAAGGCCATTCAAGCTGCCCATCGGGGGAAGAGGAACTTTGCCTCCAGGAATACATACAAGGACAAAGGTGGGAAATCCTCACAGAGTTCAAAGGTCCATAAGCAAGTGAGTGGCTGGTAAAGTACAGGAACCCCTGGAGGAGTCACTCACTGGTAAAGAATATGGAAACTTTTCATTGCAAGATGTTCAGTATCTTTTGAAGGCCAATTAACGAAGTATATGATACCTCTTATTTCTTTGGCGCTAAGGTGTTGAAGGAATAGCCTGTAGAGGAGCTATCACTAAGGTACTTAATAACACAGTTTTGACTTGGATATGCATGTCCTAAATGTCTGTCTTGTATATTTGAAATTTTGGTAGCATGTTTGGCAGAACATAAAGGCTTAAGATTGTTAATGTACTTGTTATTTAAAGACTAAATTAGAAACAGTTTGTAGGTATGAAGAACTACGTAGACATTCTATTGTTGGTCATACTTATGCTATTTGATATTTGAATGGAGGGAAAAATACTTGTGCTTCTTGGATGTATCGGATAGTTGGGCGACAACTTGCACTAGTTTAGTAGCGCAACAGCTGAGTAAAAGCTCCATGATCACAGTATGGTCTGCTGGAGACAGATGAAATCCCCTTCCAAAAGTTGAATTTCAAGGCTAAGAATCATGTTCCTCATTCCCCTTGTTGACTGTTTGGGTTGAATTTTATTTGAGGTTCAATTTTCAGTTGGTCATCTCTTCATTCACAAAATTACTCTAACTTCTTCACTGTAAAAAAAATACTTTAAATTCTCGTGAAGATGTTCTGCGTAAACAACCTCTCTACCTTCAAGATAGGGGTAAGGTCTTCGTACACACTATATTGAAATTGGCAAAAGTACCACATCGGTGGATGACAATTTTGAATGAGAATTTCACCCTATAAAAGGAGGCCTAATGTTTAGGATTTAAATACACCTCTCATTTGCCTTTTATCTTCTTAAGGCATTTGTATCTTCTCTCTTTAGTATTATTTCACTTGTAATTTTGGAGTGGAATAAAATATTGATTGTGTCCGAGGAAGTAGGCAAAATTGGCCGAACCTCGTAAATTCTGGTGTTCTTTTATTGTTGTCTTATTGTCTTGTTTATTATTTAGTGGTTGTCATAATTTTTGGTATAGTAGTTGTGACTCATTCACACTATATACATTTGGCTTCCGCAACACACTACCCTCCCCAAACTCCAAACTCCACTTGTGGGATGTTATTGGGTTGTTATTCTTCTCGTGAAGATGTTGTTGTCGGGAAAAGACATGTTCAGTTACTTAATATTACCCATGGTAAATGTTACAGCAGGGCTACTGCCGTTCAGGATAAGGGAAGTGGTCATATGCTTAGCTTGCTTAGAGGGATTCTTACCTTGGCTTGTGACAACAGTATATGATTTTCATCCCCTTAAAACTTTTGTTAGCTTGTGGCGACACGAGTCTCCTCTCCTGTGTGTCTTAACTGTGTTTTACATCATTCTCCTATCTCAAATTGGTGAAAGTAGCTGAAAAGCTATCATGTAGGACCCTCACTTCTAATTTGCATTATTACTATGCACAGGTTGCTGCTATGATGTTTTTCTTTTGATTGTTTGGAGCTCTGATAACACTATAAATGATGTTGTCTCTTTCTCAACAATATGAATTTCAAGATTTCCTGTCACATTCGCAATTTAACCTTGTTATTCATAATACACTGCAAGAAAAAAGAAGGAGAGGCAATGGAACTCACATGAACAGTGCAACATGTAGAAACATTTGGAGCTATAGTCTTTAATGTATTAGGGTTGGTCTATCATATATGCACCTCTTCAGCTATAGCCCTTAATGTATGGATAAAGGGGACACTTTTGGTAATAAATCATAAACTTAACAGACTTGTTAAGTTTAAGGCCAACTTTCATGTGCTTAACAAAATTCACGAAAATAGAACCCAACAACTTTTTTCTCTCGTATTTGAGCCCTTTCTCAACAAAGCTCATTCTCACTCGGTCATCATTGCCAACTCTGTCAATTCTCCTCCGAGTAGCTCTCAGACATAGACATAGATCATTTCTCATATTCAGGTTCATTCATTCTTGACAAGTCTGGCCATATCTGAATTCTCAAGATTTTTCCATGTTGTGCTCTTCTCATTTAACCCATATCAGAGAAACAGACGGGAAATTTTGAAATTCATATTGTTAGAGAAAGAGGGGACTAAAGATGAAATGAAAGCTTTTGGAATCTGTTTTTGCGAATTTTGTTAGCCACATATGGAAATTGGTGTTAAACTTAATGCCATTTTTGAGAAATCTGTTTAGTTTAGGGTTTATGACTAAAAGTGTCCCCTTTCTCCATACATTAAGGCTGATAGCTATAAAGGTGTATATATGACGGACCAAAATAGACCAACCCTAATACACTCATGACCATTTTGATAATTTTCTCTCGTTGCTTTTCAGCTAATAAATATATACAATTTGTCTAGAGTATGAGTTTGTAACATCAAATGTCTTATTTGTACAAACCCTTTTAACAGCGTGATGCTTGAATTTATGTCTTCGTATAAAGGATTAGCTGCTAAACATCATGACATATCAAAGCATTTACCTCATCTCAAACGTATAGGAGGTAGTTGTACTAGTTTCTGTATGGGCTAAAATTATCCTAATTATATGTGGGCCAAGTTAACGTCGAGTAAGCCTTCGAAGGCCGCCACATGTCGTCATCAGGATATAATAATTTGGTCTTGGAAGCTCGGCGTCATGAGACAATAACATGCCGTCAACAAGGTCGAGTTGGCTCGACAAAGGACGAAGACGAGCACTCCCCTTACTAAAGCAGTAACAGCTAGTCTTGGGAATATGGTTTTCCAGGGAATATTCCAAAGAATATTCCCCTCAATTGTACTACTTAGGATTTTATGGTCTATGTACCCTTATAAATAGAAAGATATGTAGCCATGGTGGGGGATTGGACACTAATTGTAAAAACAAATAATACATTGACATTCTCTGAAGATTATTCCTTTATCACATATATACAAACTTTACCTTTTTGTATCTTGATCTACCTTTTCTTCCCCGATCCAAGGAAGATCCGAATATTCAAAGGCTTATAATCATCCCTCTTTGTCAGAGGGAATATCGAGGAATTTCACCCTTTTTAGGTAACCCACATTCATTATTTTACTTAAATACTATTTATTATTATCTTCCATAATCCTGGATCATTGATTATTCTATTATTGTCGTCCCTCATTGCTGTTCAAGTAGCACATGTGAGGCTTTATCACAAAAACGCTTGGTCTATCTTTTGGATATTAATATTGGCTAAGATTAACCCAACTTTATTATAAAACTCGATTGTATAAGCCTAGATCTAAATTTTGGGTCATACAGTTTCTAGGTGGTTCAGGGAAGTACTAGCTTTCTAACTACCTCAAGTCGATTGTAACTTCCTTTTGGAGATGAATAAAATGCTTAAAAATTTTTTTTGAAAAAAAAAGCATCATGTCAGCTTGCAGTGTTGCAAGTAACAATATCACTTGCCAAGCTGGGAGACCTATTTAAGGTTCGTTAAAATGAATGATTGTAGTCTTAAGGTGATATATTAGTATTACATTACTGGAAACACAGACTTTAAATACAATTAGAGTTGCCCAGCGGCTTGGTTCCAATATTAAATGAAAATACAGTATATATGAATGAACTAATTCGACCAACTTTTATAGTCGGCAGACGTGGAGGGCCGCGCAATATTAGGATACTCAGAGGCATGAGACGTAGAGGGACGCGCAAGCAGTTGGGCACTCTCGGCCTCAAGAGCAGTAACTCGATCATGTAGCTCAGAGTTATCCTTATCCAACTCTCCAATCCTCTCCTCAATCCGGTCCTCTTTAGCCTTAGTCATTGACAGAGCGCTATCCCGCTCAGATCGGCGAGTCCTGTTCCCCAGCTCGAGAATGTCAACCTTTCTCTGAGCATCCTGTCGGGAGGACTCCGCCTGCTCGAACATTTGTTGCTTCTCGGCAACCTCCCCCTAGAGAGCGTCCATTTGAAACTGGCACCCATCCAACTGACTTTGCAGTTGATCCACCTGATTTTGGAGGTTGCTGCATTGGGCCTCCACGCTCTTGCTCAGCTTGAGCTCCTCCTTTTTTCTCTTAAATGCCCCCTCAAGAATGCTGAGCCTTTCTACGGCCGCTATCAGCTCCTCGTCTTTCTTCTTCATCTCTTCTCTCAAGGCCGGCACGTCGCCCGCCTCAGGAAGCCGCCTCCGAGCATCCCGGTATTTTCCACGAAACCCCAGGTACTTCCTGTCACGATCCAAAATCCGACTAGTCATGATGGCGCCTAACCTAACCCGCTAGGTAAGACAACTAACCACTAACCAATTCCAATAACAATTAATAAAACAATTAAGTAAAAAAATATCTGAATCTAGTACATTTCACAAGAACTGGTAGTACAAATCATGAGCTTCTAAGAATAGAGTTTACAAAGCTGAAATGAATTAAATACATAGTCTTGTATGAAAAGTACATAAACAGAGTTTCATAGACCTAAAGCTACCACGAACAAGGGGCAGCTACAACCAGAATACAGGTACATCTTCAATCCAGCTCCCATCAAACACAATAACATCAGCAACCAACATCTGCACGCAAGGTGCAACAATGTAGTATGAGTACAACCGACCCCATGTACTCAATAAGTAACAAACCTAACCTTAGGTTGAAAGTAGTGACGAGCTAACAAAAAGAGGTCGGGTCCAACACCAATATTCCACAACAGTTCATAACAGCATAATACAAGTAACAAATGAGTATCTAAGAAATAAAAGGCTCAGTTCGTTCACAGTTCCAGAAAAATAGTCATTTCTTTTCAAGTATCTCAGTGAAAATCCAAATCTTTTACCGAAAAGCCAATATACGAGTAAGTTTTAAAACTGTGATTTTTCCCAAAACTCCTTTAAACAAATAGTAAGATGTTTCATTTTCAGATAGCATGAGGAAGGTACTTCTCTATGCCTACATGTCAAGATACAAGTAAAATCATAAATGTCCCTAAAACTGGGTAGCAGAAGGAAATGCACCTTTATGCATGTATCTCAAGTACGCATGTCAAATGCAATGCATTTCGATGATGAGCTACTCACACTCTCAGAGTACTCAATCTCACTGTCTCGCATTCTCTCTCACTATGCTCAGCACACTCAAACACTCAGCGCTGTACCATACCCGCTGCGGCGTACAACCCGATCCCTATTTATAGTCGACTGCGCTCACTGGGGGTGTGCAGACTCCGGAGGGGCTCCTTTCAGCCTAAGCGCTATAATCCGCACGGACAACTCACGTGCTGCACGGAAAACTCACGTGCCATAATATCAATATATAGAATCTCACGGATAACTCACGTGCCGCACGGATAACTCACGTGTTATAATATCAACATATGGAATCGCACGGACAACTCACGTGCTGCATGGACAACTCACGTGCTATAGTGACAACATCCTCA